GTGTGCGTGCGTGCGTGCGTGCGTGCGTGCGTGTGTGTGTGTGTGTGTGTGTGTGTGTGTGTGTGTGTGTGCGTGCGTGCGTGTGTGTGTGTGTGTGTGTGCGTGTGCACGCGCACGCACTTTCACGCATACGAATGCCTAGCTTTAGAAGCGCTGTGCAGGATGCTTGCATATCAACCTGCCCGCCTAGTGTGGCACAGGGTGAACATGTGATCAACTGAAGCTGGGGGAGCGCAGGTAAGGCTGCAGGCCCAAATCCACCACGGTACGGGACGCAGCGATTCCACCAGTCAATATGGCCCAGAGGCGCCCAGCCACACCTACTGATCAAACAAAACTCACGTACGGTATTCACTGTTCTTAACACCACACGCCGCAGTGTTTGACTGGCGATCCCGCACCCGCCGCATGCCGTGTGTACAGCAATGTGGGAAGCAGCCATCGTGACAGAGGTGTGCCAATATAGCGTTTTTTCGTGTATTTTTCCAAACACTCATCAGATCACACGAAGAACTGGCACCCTGTCGTGGTCCAATCTGCAACCATCCCGTTCACCCTTTGTCCCTGCCACAGGCGTTGGTTCGAGAATACTTGAAACACTCGGGATGCACGGGCGCGCTGCAGGCGTTCCTGACCGAGCGGGTGCGGCGCCGGGAGCAAAGTTGCGTCAGCTGCGGCATAGGCCAGCAACTCAACTGCCCCCAACATGTCGCCACACCTTCTAAGCCACTCTCGGCCTGAACCGTGCGCAGCCGCAAAGGGAAGGGAAGCCTATTACCAAGCGTGCTACTCTGCTGGAGGCCCTGCGGCTCGACCTGCCAGCTGCTTCTGGCGTCTCCACTTTGGAGCAATGGGTCGCGCAGCGGCTCAGCTGCGGCCACACGGGCTGCTGCTTCGGCCCAGTTGCAGGCACGGCAGCTGGAGCCGTGCATCACAGTTTTGGCGACAAGGCGGCGGCAGCGGAGGCGTCGCGCGAAACGAGTGCAGCTGCACCAGGCCGGCGGGCGAGCTTCGGCGAGCGGCTCAGCAGCAGCGGCGGGGAGACGCTCACAGCGGCGCCGGCATCAGCGGTCGCAGCGTCCGGGGTCCCTGCCGCCAGCAGCGGTCTCGGGCCCGTCAGTGCGGTAGCAACGCTGGCGTCGAGCCTGCAGGTACGCAGGGCTCGCGGGTTGCGGCGTGGGCATGGGCCACCGGCGGTGGTGAGTTTGGGGGAGAGGAGAGCGTTGAATGTAGAACATAGCCACGCTGCTGCAGGACCCTCTCATGTTCTGAACCGCTAGCCTCTGTGCATCGTAAACTGTACACTCATAGGACAATTTGGTTCTGGAGGACCTAGATGAGGATCCCTGCAGCAGTTTCGACGCTCAGGGAGGCAGCAGCCACCACGTCTCAGGCGCCGGCAGCAGCAGCGAAGGCGCACGCGGCGGCCCCAGTGAGCACGCCGCGGCAGCTCGGGGCAGGAGGCCCGGGGCTGCCCAGCCGGGCCCCCTGACGCCCGGGCCCGCGGCTGTCTCGGCGGCACGCGCCGAGTGGGTCACGCCGGAGCTGCAGCGGCGCTTGTGGGACCTGATGTGGGGGGCCGGCAACGGTCCCCCAAGCAGTGGGTGGCAGCAGGGGCTGTTTTTTGTTGACCCGCCGCGGCCAGGGCTGGAGTGGGGCCTGGTACAGGAGACAGGCGGCCCCTGCGGCTTGCTGGCGGCCGCGCAGGGGGAGCTGCTGGCGGCGCTCGCGGCGCAGGGCGGGGCCGGGGCGCTGCGGCGGCCAGGGGCGGGGGAGCTGCGTGATGCGCTGGCCGAGGCGCTGTGCGACATGATCTGGCGGGCGGCGGGCGGCGGGCGCGGCGGCGGCAGGGGGCGGGCAGCGGCATGCGCCGCGGTCGTGCTGTGTGTGGACGAGGCCGGCCGCGCGATGCAGGGCCGCGCCTGCAGCGCCGCGCGGCTGTCGCGGTCCCTTGGGGTGGTGCGCGCACGCAGCAGGTGCGGCCTTGGGCACTTGCTGCGCTCGTCGGCGCTGCCGCAGTGGAGCGAGCCCGGCGGCTGGGGCCTGGTGCTGCTGCTGGCGTCGCTGGTGATGTCACGGGGAGTTGAGGCGGCCGCGGCCGACACCGACGAGGCAGGGGCCGTGCCGCTTGTGGGCGCGCACGGCCACTGCAACCTCGAGCTCGTTACTCTCGCGCTGACGGGGCGCGCGGTGTCGAACGCGTTTGACGGGGAGCGGCGCGTGGGCGGGTGTGAGGCCGACGGAGGGGACGGGGGAGAGGACGGGGCAGTGTTGCGCGGAGTGGCAGAGCAGTCCCGCGTGGGGCTGCTGTCGCTACACGAGTGGTGAGGGTTCCTGGAAGTCGCATTGGCCGAATTATCTGGGCACCGCACTGGGGAAGCTGCTCGTGCGTCTGCCATGCTGCTCCTTGGCACACCCCATGCTGCCTCGCAAAGTCGTGCAATGTTGCCGCTGACACGACACAACCAACGATCCACGCCTGTGCCATGTTTGTGTTCAAGGTACCGCTACCTGGAGGTGGGGCAGTGCTTAAAGAGCCCTGAACTGCCGATCTGGGTGGTCTCAAGCGAGAGCCACTTCACGGTCCTGTTCACACCCCCAGATGAAACAGTCCTCGACAGCGACTTCGGCGTGGATGCGGCGGCAGGCACGGGGGCGCGAGGCGGGAGTGCCGGCGCGCCGGCGCCGTGGACGTGGGCGGGACAGCGGCCAGGCTGTTTGGAGCCGCCGCTGACGTTGGCGCTGTACGACGGCCTGGCCCGGCAGCAGGGCCCCATATACCTGGACGTGTCTCCTGCGCAAGGCGACGGCTGGACGTCGCGGCTGGCGGCGGAGATGGGCGACCGCGGCACATGGCAGGGCCGGCCGGTGCCGCCGCTGGAGTGCGTGGTGGAGACGAGGTGGCCGGATGTGCGCGTCATGTGGCGGGGCAGCGAGCCGCTGCTGTAGTGGGCACGCACTCCCACACACGCGTGAGCCTTAGCAGGGTGCTCTGATGGTGGTCCATCACCACTGTGATCTTTGAGCTGCTGTATTTGCACAGCTTGCTGTCGTCATGTCTTTGCGGCATTACAACCCGCTCATCACGTTGACCAGCCTGCAAGCGCACTGTTTCTGGTCTAGGAGTTCAGCATGATTGAGTAACACGTGACAAATGAGGAAATGAAGGAGCATGTCCAGAGCCGCAAAACCAACCAATGTGGGCTTACGGCACAACCATCTTGCTTGGCGGCGCCGGCAGGTGTCGTCGTCACAGAGGCCGGTCAGGGCCAATGTCATTGCTCTGCATTTGGTAGTGGAAAAGGTCGGGGGCCATCGTGTCGGGATTGTGGAGCGAGGATGCTGCGAGCAGCAGTCGCGGCGGCAGCCGCCAAGTGCAGACAACAGGGTCATCCTCACGCTGCCAGAGCCGAACAATGCAGTTGCAAAGCAGGTGTGCAGCCGACGCTAAACAGGTTGTCCACAGCTGGGGCTTCCCGTACGCCGAAGCCGACTGAGTACACACAGCACAACGCCTGAACCAATCTGCGCTGACCCAGCGCAGGCTGCCACCTGCCTGAGTGTTGGCGTATGCGCCCCGTATCCGGTTGTTTGCGGGCATCGCCTTGTTGGTGTTAGTCTGCGTGAGGCGGCGGCAGCCCGCCATGTTCCAGAGGCACGATTAAAGCTGAGCTGTGGCGCGGCCCTGCTGCAGCTCTTGACAATTCGTGTGCCGCTGCATCGAAGGCTTTGGAATCAAGCGACTAGAAGAAGCTGCTCAACGTCAGCACAGCGACCCCACCTTTCCAATCACAAGGAACGAGATGGGCAGCGCGCCCACGAGCGCAATCCCTAGGCCGAGGGTGACGGCAAGCCGCGCATTGCTCGAGCTGAGTCGTGGCATGGCAACGCCGACAGCTGCTCTGCCGTGCACGTGGCGCGCCACAAACGTCGCACGCCTGCTGTGGCTTGGCTTGCGCTGCGGTTGGGCTTTTGGCCAGTGGCGGTGAGCAGACGCGGCGCAACACGACTAGTGTGTGCTGCGCGTGGCTTTGATGCTGCGTGCTGCTGCCAAGGTCGCTGAGCAAGGGCACTAGCACCGCTGAGTGGATCCTATGAATACAAGGCGAATTTGGCTATAGACGCGCACACCCGGCCTGCCGCTGCGTTCCTGCGCGGCCGAGTCACCAGGGATGACGCTTGAAGGATCTCGGAATGCAAAATCAGTAATGGGCATAAGGATGCCGCGATCAAGCGAAAATTGACAAATAGCCTGTTCGAATACGTGCTCCTGCGGCGACCGTTCTCCATGATACCCGCTTTGGTACCAAATCCACCAGTTTGGCTGCCCTCGTTGGCAATAATAGCAATCAAGTATCTTATCCTGATCTTACTGAGGTTGCCAATCAGCGCAAGTCCTCCTCAAGTGGCCCGCTGACCCTGCCTTTTCGTGTGGTGGTCTCTTTACCCCCGCAGCGGGGGATCCTATCGGCCGGTCTTAATCCTGCAGAATCACGGCTAAACCTCTTCTTCAATATTCTAGAGCGACGCCCTCACCACCTTTGCGAACAACTTCCAGCTGTGGCGCCACAACGCCCACCCTTCACGTCTACTGTTTGTCAGAGCTCGGCGGCAATGGACTGCACAGACACCGCCTTGGATTGTATGCGCTGCACAGTATTTACGGAGAGCCCAAGCAGCAGTGGCAGCTGCACTGAAGCCAGCAGCAGCGGCATTAGGCGGAGCACCAGCAGCAGTGCAAGCGCGGCTGCTGACAGTGCAACCAGCCTGCGCCACCTGTCCAGTGGCGCATCTAGAACGCAGCACTTGTTTTTAGGTGAGCGGCCACGGAGGGTGGTGGTGACTGGCACATAGCATGTGGTGGCCGCAGCTACTCAACTTGCTGCTGGCAGTTCGCGGTTGACGCTGCTTGCCTGCGCTGTGTGGCACAACCGCGCCCTCCCTCCTCACTCCTCCCACTCTGCTTCCTCCCTTGCACACGCAGGCAGCCGAGGCAGCCAGTCAAGTGCAAGCACCCCGCAGCTGCTGCATGGGTCCCTGGAGGCAGGAGCAGCGGATGCCAGCAGCGACAAGGGGCTGGACGGCCCCGGCTCTGCAGCCAGGCGGCATGGCTGGACCATCAACCCCTTCCGCCGCCTGCTGGACGCAGACATGCACGCGCAGCGGCACCAGGCCCGAGCGGCAGCGACGGCGACGCCGGCGATAAGTGAAGGCGCTGATTTGCGGGCCCCCACGCCGGCGGCTCTTGCTGTCATGATCGGGGCTTGAGGCATGCTCAGGCCTTCACACGCACTGTGTTTCCACCCAAGACACCATCAGCCAACGTATGCAACACAGCGTAGCCCACATGTTGTGAGCTGGTCAATCAAATGGCAGCGCCACATCCATCAATTACTGTATCTTTGCCATGATGGCGTTACTGCATTGAGCTTGTCCTTCCTGATGCCGTTTCCACTGGAGCAACTTGTCGTTTTCGGCACATGGCATAGAAATAGACTTGTCGTCACAACAGCTTCTAGTAACAAAACCTCGCTACTGTAATCTGAATGGAGAGTGAATCACAATGTGTCTGTTCTTGTATCCTGGTTGACAAGCTTGACCTGTGTGCGCAGAGAGTTTTGCAGGCAGACCGCCATGCCCATGAGTTGTCAGTTGATACACAATGGCATGAACCAAGCCCTGCACCGCCCAGGCTACCCATAACCAATATTTGTTCCAATCACGTGCCACAAGCTACCAATCAGGTCGAGGTACGGAGTGGTGTGCAGCGTAGGTGAAGCCACCCGAGGGTCCAGGAGAGCGGAGAGGTCGTGCCCTGGTGAGTCGCCAGTGATGATATCCAGTGGGCATGGTGGCGTGCAGGGCCGGCCCTCATATTGTATGTTGCGTGGGTGCAGTGGGCTGAACGTCATCCTGCCGTCGACCATGTGCGCCCTGCGTTTGCAATCAAGTGGCCATGTCATCCGACTCGCAGACGCCGTTGACCTGGGTTTGAACACACAAATTTGTTTCGCATCCCTGCTGTCCTATCATGACTCACAGATAACCTGATTTGTTGTCCAGTGTCTTCTATGCTGACCGTACAAACACACCGTGGTCTGCAAGGGCCTTGATCAAGCCTGATGATGAGGGTTGGGTGAGGGACACCAGGGCGCGGTCAACCTCTGGGAGTGAGCACCTATGGCACCACTCCTGGGAGCGCACGTCGACGTCGAAACTTCTTAACGCTGCTCAATTGTCATTTCTTTGGTCAAGATCCGCCTCCGCCGTTTGTAGTGCTGCATTGCGCGGTGATCTGGTCGTCTTCCCCGCGGGCTTGTGCAAGTAGCCAAGAATATCCATTGTACAGCACTCTCATCTGCCTCTGTTGCGTCGCCATGTCCGAGCAACCAGCCCCGAGCTCGCCCGCCAAAGCGACCGGCTTTGGCGCCGCCGCAAGCACTGCGGATGCGCGCAGCGAAAAGGAGAAAATGCTTGCTGGCGATCTCTACTACGCCTTCACGCCGCAGCTGGTGGCTGAGCGCACCGCGGCGCGCCACCTGGTTCACGCGTTCAACACCGAGCTCGACGAGGCAAAGCGCCTGGAGGTGCTGCGGCAGCTTCTGGGCGGCTTCGACGAGGAGCAGCCGCCATACATCGAGCCGCCGCTCCGAGTTGATTATGTAAGCCTTGAGGGTGCTCAGTGAAGTGATAATGCTGCCGGCGCTGACGCTCGCGTGCTTGCGGCGAGCGCCTCGCAACGCTCGTGGACCTCGCAGCCTTTGGCCGCGGCATGCCTCACCTGCCGCTCACGAGTTGTGGGGAGCTGACCACCACCCTGCCCCCCCCCCCCGGGGCCGTCCTGCCCACATTTGAAGGGCTACAACATCAAAGTGGGCAAGGACTTTTATGCCAACTTTGGCACAGGCGAGCAATGGTTTTGGGGCGGGAGGGGTGCTACTGCAGGCGTTTGCTGGACGAAAATGAGGCGTTGACTGAAGGAGAATGAGGCGCGAGGCACCTTGCAATGACTGCACAAGTCCCGAAATTCCAGCAGCGAGGCGCAGCCGGGGCGCGAAACCGCGGCCTGGCAAGCTGCACTAAATCAGCAGCCCTCTCATCCGTGGTGACTCGTCCTTTACTTCCTCGGTCCCGCAGTGATCCTCGACGGCGCGCCCGTCACCATCGGTGACCGCGTCCTGTTTGGCCCTAACGTGCAGGTTAGTACCACCTGGGTCACCCACATTCCGCGCTGTGCCCGCCGTGGCTTTGCCACGCCTGTTGCCCGCCACGCCCCACGTGCGCCCCAGGGTCTCATGGGTGCACACTGCCACCACACAGTGTGCGCCAACGGTCAAGCCTCCAGCGGCAGCCGCCCAAGCGCTGGCGCTTGCTCACCACTCTTCACTGCCCTCGCTGCCCCGCGTCTCCCCGCAGGTCTACCCTGCCGGCCACCCGCTGGAGGGCGCTGTGCGCCAGGGCACCAAGGGGCCTGAGTTTGCTAAGCCCATCACGGTTGGCAGCGACACCTGGGTGGGCGGCGGCGCCATCATCCTGCCAGGCGTCAGCATCGGCAACAACTGCGTGGTCGGGGCGGGCTCGGTGGTCACCAAGGACGTGGCGCCCTACACAGTGGTGGCAGGCAACCCGGCCAGGGTGGTGCGGCGGCTGGACGCGGGCGGCGGCGAAGGCAGCGGCAAGGCTTGAGGCGCCTTGCGGCTGCTGCGTGGGTTCGGTTGGGCCAACCGGCTGCCTGAAGCTGCCACGCCTTTTCTTGCATTATTCTGGTGCCTGTTCTGGTAATTGCAACTTTTGTAGACCACACTGCAGTGCGGTCATCGCAAGGCAGCACTCTGACGCCCCATTGCCATACCGCACATTGCAGCATAGTGTAACCTGCAACGCGCGGCCAGCAGCAACGCATTCAGCTGCCGGCCTGCAGCCTCAACCAGGGCGCGTTGACTGCCTTGGACCCATGGCGAGCACACAAAGTACTCGGATCCTCTCCAGCTGCTGGTGTGACTGACACGTACGGCATGCTCGAACAATTCGTAACTTTGGCCTTTGTATATTGGGAGCCTCTGTCAGGGCCCTGCCGCTCTCGTTTCCAGAACTCTCGGGACCTGCAGCATGCAGCAAAACGTCACACGGCCCATACATGCGCCCTCTATTCCATCCTCACCGTATCGAGTTTGCACCAGCATTCTGCCACAATGCAGGCCCTCAACGGCAAGGTACGGGACTCCTGATCACTGTGGCGTCTGGGTGCTGTTCTGGCCAGGGCGCGTGTTGCTGACTCCCATTGGGACTCTATCAATACAGGTGCTGAACAAGAAGGCATTTTCGTCCGGCGGTCGCTCGAGGCGCTCGGTGGTGCGTGGGAGCCTGCAGTGCGATTGCTCTGGAAGCATACCCGTGCTGCGCCCTGCTCGCGCATCTTGCGCATATACTTGCAGCATAGTTGTGTTGTATATACATGCGTGAAGCCCAGGGCCGGTGCAACGAGGCGTCCGAGCGAGCACATGCGCAAGCCGCCGCCAGGGCGCAGCGCGCTCGCTGGCAGGAGCACTCAAGCCAGCCGAGGCGCCTTGGCGTGACACAGCATAGCACTGGGCCGGCATGCATATTGTCTAGCCGGCAGTGCTCTGAGAGTATCCATGCTGGAACCTCGCGCCAACATCATGGTCGATGTGCAGCCGTCCCATCAGCCATGGCCGACGCTTCCGGATGCGACGCACGCCGCCGCCACCTCACGCGCACATGCATGCAGGTTGTGAGGGCCGATGCCAAGGAGATCGTCTTTGACGCTGACAGCCGCCGCAGGCTGCAGGCCGGCATCAACAAGGTTGCGGATGCGGTGTGCGTGACGCTCGGCCCGCGCGGTGAGTGCGGCGGGCATGAGGGGTGTTGGGCGCAGGTGGCGCGCAGGTGGGCCGTGCAGCAGGCTGCATTACTGCTGGCTCAACTTAGCGCGGCGTTGAAGGTGGCGCTCTCATGGTGCGAAGGCGTGGCTGGTCTGGTGGCATCACGCACGCGCGTGGAGGCTCGGGGCTCGCTGACGTGTGGAGCGTGACTGCTGTTGCCGCCGCCGCAGGCCGCAACGTGGTGCTCGAGCAGAAGTTCGGCATCCCGCAGGTGCGGCTCAGAAACAGCAGGGATCCGGCAGGGGTCCGGACACGCGCGGCTGTAGCGGGTTTGAGCGGGGCTGGGTTGACGCGGGCGATGGGGGCGCGTGGCAGCCCAGGGACCGCCAACATTTGATGCGAGCAGCGCTCCACACTTTGTCGCGGCCGCCTACACCAGCTGCGCAGGCGTGCGATCCGCCGCTCATGCAGACAGCAGCGCCTCGTGAGCTGCGGAGCAACAGCGTGGGTGACCAACCGCCATGCTCCGTGCTCCTGCACTGCCGCGTCGGAGCCCTCACCCCTCTCATCCACCCCTGGCCGCCGCCCTCGACCCCCGCCAGGTCATCAACGATGGCGTGTCCATCGCGCGCGCCATTGAGCTGGCGGACCCGGTGGAGAATGCGGGCGCGCAGCTCGTCAAGGAGGTGCGTGTGCGCGCGCAGGCCGTCGAGTGTCTGTGCGCGCGTGAGCATGTGCATGTGTACGTTTGTGTGCGTACGTTGTGTTTGTGTGTGCGCACGTTGTGTTTGTGTGTGCGTACGTTGTGTGTGTGTGTGTGTGTGTGTGTGTGTGTGTGTGCTGCGGGGGGGGGTACTCTTGCCAATGGGACGTGAGCGAGGACCACCACGACCTCTGCCTGCAGCCTGGCGACGCTGCCTCGGAACAGCAGGGCGTTGGCAATTGCGCCTCGCCTCCCAACTTTGCACGATGAGTCGGCGGTCGCGGCCCGCAAGTAAAGGAATTTGTGAGTGTCCCCGTGCCGCCCCGCCAAGCCCCAGCCCTCACGCACCCCTGGAACTTCTGCTGGCCCTCACCGCCTGACACACACACACACACACATACACACTCACACACAGGTTGCCGGCCGCACCAACGACGCTGCGGGCGACGGCACCACGACCGCGGCCTGCCTGGCGCGCGAGATGATCCACTTTGGTCTGCAGAACGTGACCGCGGGCGCCAACCCCATCGCCGTCAAGAAGGGCATCGACAAGACGGCGGAGTACCTGGTGGGCAAGCTGAGGGAGAACGCCAAGCCGGTGCAGGGCCGCAACGACATCAAGGTGGGTGCTGGGG